TTACACTTCCCCCACCCCATCGATTCGTTTCGAAGACGCAGCAGTCTGCAAGACGTTCCCCAAGACGTCTCCACACACGTCGACGGCCATCAGCGTGATAAAGATGAAAGCGACTCTCATCACTGAAGAGCACACTTTGCCAGTCTACTCTTCTCCATGTCTGGTGTCCTTGGGCCCATATCAAACGCCGCTGACGGTGATGATCCCTGAGGATAGCTCCAACATAAGGTCGTCGTGCACGGAGTCCTACTTCTCTTATACGACGTCTTACGGTGTTGGCACTTACTGGTCCTTGTCTTCCGACGACTGCTGCACCTGTTCGAGTCGCTGGGCGGAATCTGTCACGCAGATGAGTGACCCGGATGTAGCGGTCTTGAGCCTGAGTTGTACCAGGACGTTGACGGTCACGTGTTGATCCAGTAACTCGAACACGTTCCACCAACCTTACAATAGTGGACTGATAGCAATTGAAGTGTCAAGCAATAGCACGTGTAGACATGCCAGCCCTGGACATTCCCATGGCTTCATTCCGTTGATTTTCAGTAAGTCTCGGCATCTCTAGCTCCATTCCTTCACACGTCCAAGAACAAACTACGACAGATTGACGTTTCACAGTTCATGTACTGCACATTAAGTTGAAAACATGCTTTTAAAGGGCTCACACACAATTCTGCACGTGAATATTGGGTTTTTCATGTGCATCTCGTGCAATTTTTTTTTTTTTGCACACGGGCCGATATTTTTTGCGTTTGGGAGCATTGTGTGAAACAATAGTTCATAGTATTGCATAATATTATACATACAACACCACCTAGTAATAAAATATTTGGGGAAAAAAGTGATGCGTTTTTCATGGCGCTCAGTATATTCAAATTATCCCTAATGATACCAAATAATGAAATTAAACGAATCTAGGATTTCAAGGCATTTGAAGTTAAAATTTAATCAACCAGCGGCTGCCAGGCAGGATACACCCACATTTTGCAAGAGATGAATAGAGGACAAGTTAAAAACAAAAACAATTTTTTGTACAATCAGCGGCCATAATCGGTTCAAAATTGTAACCTTTAGAGTGTCCTTAATTCAGGAAGTTACGATCCGATATGTGATAATATCGAAAGGAACCAAGATCTTTGGATTATAAACATGCATTTCAAGTTTCATCAAAATTTGATTAAAATTGTGACCTCTACAGGGTCCACAACCTTGATATACCATATTTTTTACACTATTCGCGTACAAGCGGCGGCCATTTTGTCCGGCAGTTTTGGTCCGATTTTCACAAAATTCGAACTCAACCTTCTTTACGATGTAACGGTGATATACGAAAACGTTTTTTTTATAAATCGGATAAAAATTGTGACCTCTGGAGGGACTACAAGCCAAAAACGCGATTTTTCGTGCAATCAGGGGCCATAATTCAAGAAGTTACTATCCGATATGCGCGAATATCGAAAGGAACCAAGATCGTTGGGTTATAAACATGCATTTCAAGTTTCATCAAAATCGAATCAATATTGTGACCTTTAGAGTGTCCACAAGCTAAAAACGCGATTTTCCGTCAATCAGGGGCCATAATCCATGAAGTTACGGTCCGATACATGCCAATATCGACAGGAACCGAGATCTTAGGAAGATAAACATATATTTCAAGTTTCGTTGAAATCGGATAAAAATTGTGACCTATAGAGTGTCCACAAACAAATTGTGGACGGACGGACGGACAAACAGGGGGGACGGCATAATACGTCCACATGAAAATGTGGGCGTATAAAAAACTAGTATAAAAAAAATAGTCCTCTGTATTACTTTAATTGGGAGGGGTAACTCACTGACAAAATGACACAACCCGCTTCCTATGTGGCATTGTCTTTACTAACTGCCATGTAGTCTACCTGGGCCCGATTCCTAGAAAATTCTTAAGCACGTTCTTGTGCTTAGATTTTAAGTAGACTTTGTATTTAAGTAAACTTATCTTATTTTGTGTTCTTGTGCTTAGATTTTAAGGAGACTTCATTGTAAGCACAAGAACGTTATTATGCGTTCAAAGAAAAAACTTAAGCACAACTTCGTTCTTAAACATAGTCAATCTAAGCACAAGTCCCAAGCAAGGTATACGGCTTGCTTACCAACCTTAAGTCTGTTTCTGCTTGAAAAAGATAGCTGACCGTAGTTATTCGACGGCATTTCCGACACCTTTTGATACCAAAGAGACAATTACAAGACAGAGAAAATGCTTCTCCAGAAGAAATTAAGAATGCTAGGGGGCCTATAGAAAATTAATTCGCTTTATCCTGAAATCATTTTATTTATTTGCCAATTAGGCCTACTAAACAATAGGCTACTAACACACAGGCTACTTTAAGATCAGGTGCTCTCACAATTATTCAGTTAGTTTATATGTGTCTGTGTTTTTTATCTTGTGGCACATTTTATATGTGTATTGGGGACATGTCAAATGCATCTAAAGCCTGGCGCACACTATGCGACAATTTTAGCGACGAGTTTGGCGACTTAATAACGCCGCAACGAATTTGGCGATCACGAAAGAAAAACCCTGTCACGTGCTTCATCATGTGATAACTATAAATGCATTTTAGTCGTCATCGCGTTGAATACTTCAATTAATATTGTTTTGTAAATGGTGATCAGGCGACGACGTCGCCGTCTTAGTACAACGCCAGTCGAGTGCAGTACGTTTATAGTATTCCATGTAACGAGCTCAAATTGAGTCCAGAAATATGCCAGAGTATCCTAAATATAATTAATCCTCTCATTACCAAACAAACAACCCAGTGATTACGTTTCTAGTGTAAGGAAAGATTTGTAATATAAGAATCTTCAATGAAAAAAATGGAATTAAACAGTTAGAAGGTTTAATGGATCCATGTGATTTAAAGCGTCGACACATGGATCCAAAATTTTCACAGTCTACAACAGAATACAATACAGAACAGCTGTATTCATCCGCCCCAAAAAATAGTACCTAAAATTCATGTACATTATATAGGTTTAAACGTCAAATGAGGTCAAATGAATAGAGACGTCTTTAATATATACTAAATATTCGTATCATCCCAAATCGACAATAAAACAGTGAGAAAAGGGAAAATCTAAGTAATGGCAATCTAATTAACATAAAATTTACGACATAATCGATTCTTCAATGTTTTGATGGTGATCATGAAGAAAGTACATCTGTTCTCAGGAATCCGATAAGATTTTCCAAAAAAAGATCACTAGAATTATAGATTGTTATTCCACAAAGTCGAAAGGTATGTTAGATTTTTCATTCAGTCAAGTTAGAGCGAGTTTTTTTGCCGTCCTTTGAGCTCCAAACCCGATAGAAATGAAGGCGGAAGTGGCCATAATAGTTTTAGAGATCACTACGTGATGGCGCTCCTGCGTCGCGACAAACGGGGCCGATTTGTCAAGATGCGACAATCAATAAGCCCAGGACAGCGATTGACTGTCACCCTCCGTTTTTTCGCTACAGATACTGGGAAAAAACACCTTTTCTAATTACCATCTATAAATCCTGGGACTATAATAATATTGCTATACAAACGGAACAATCCACTGGGCCTACCATGTATACGACAGCTCACACATTTAATAAGTGTCATTTAATTTCAATTAGTTAGGCCTTAATTAGATTACCCGAGCCACTTATGCATGCAACAGAAAAAAAATCGGAGAACCTCGTGTGTGGTTATGTTACATGAGAAGAATAACGAAAAATGATTGGTTTAATAGGTGGATTTATTTCCCTGGTTGTCGCTTAACTTGTCGCCGAGGTGAGTACATTACACGATTTGTTGCCGACGAAGCGACGACTTAGGCGATCATATCAAACATGTCTGATATTGACGACCATCGCCGCGATGGTCGCTGGCGATGAAAAATCGCTACCGACCGAGTGCGCACACTAGGCGAGTTTTTGATTTTTCATCGTCGGCGACCGAAATCGCCAATGTCGTCGCGTAATGTGCGCCAGGCTTAAATCAACCATATAGGATGACGTCAATCAGACGACAAATTTATGACGTAATTCGCATACCAAAGTTGTTTTTATGACGTTAAAGAGCATCGTAGTCACAGTTTATGGTAAACCTTACTAGTCACAACGTGCTTAGAATTATACTTGACTTGTGCTTACGTAAGAATGGTCTTGAGAATTTTCTAGGGACGGTATTTTTATAAGTTTCTTACGTAAGAAAAAGTGAAGCATGACTTTGTGCTTACTTTAAGAATTTTCTAGGAACCGGCTGGATGATAGGCCTAGGCCTAATTCTTAAACAAAGCTTTAACACACTTTATTCTAGGCTACTTTAACTTACTTTAAGAGACAGTCGGATGACCTCATCTGACATTTAAGCGGGCTGCAGAAACTACTCGTGCCCTTCACATGTACCGTCCTCCAGTGTTTCAAGCAAATAACAGTTGGTACCTTACGCCAAGGGCCAGTAATTCAGTGAATAGTATACGATGTTTCGTTACAGTGTTAAAAATGAAGTTCTGGTGTTGAGAATTCTAACGGTGATATAAACAAACCAACAGTCCCCCGCCGAAATTCCAAAATAAATAGATGACACACATTAATTAATCGCACATTTATTTTTTTCAAAAGTATCAAGCATTCAAACTGATTATCAACTATACAATAAGTTTCATCACTCTCTATTAGATAGAATCAAATTTATCTTGTCCCTAAGCACCGACCAATCAAGTTTAAACATTCTATCTTAATTAAAAGCAGAGTTGTTATGTTCCAAAGTCTTGACCAATCAAATTGCTTATCGCTCCTTAGCCTAAGCAGAAAGTTTTCATCATCGAACTTAGTCAAGGTTGTAAGACGCAAATTCTTATTTCGTTCCACATATGTAATTCGCAATATTTTTTAAGTGCGAAATTTGTACGACACCAATATTTTGTGCGGGCTTCTGTAACAGATACCTGATTGTCCAGTCTAAATTTAATGTAATTTCCTTAGTCATATTTAAGTCTTGATAATCGAGGCTGTTGTGTCTGCTTGGAGAGACGCCATGACTTAGATTTCTTGGAGCCCAGATCAGTATACAAAATGGTGAGAAACAATGCAAACTAGGGCCCACACCTTACGCTTACACCCTATATTGCTTTAAGGTCAGCTACATAAATTATGTCCCCCAAAACAGCCAGTTTTACGTAAGTCAAGTCTGTGTTGCTCGGCCAAGCGTTAGGGGTTTTGGCACAGTAACGCCCAAAGTCGTAATCCCGTTAAAACGTTGTGTTTTACGCACGATGTTGTCCGTTTATAGTATTATACATTATTGTAGTATTTTAAGGCTTATTGATTATCTGTGTCTTACTGCAAGTGCCATAGTAACGTTTCTCACACAGTGCAGATCTAGGCTACGGCCTGAATGTCAAACTGACGGCCATACAGCGTTTTATGTCCTACTGCAAGTGTCAAATTAATGTTTCTCACTCAGTGCGGAGCTAGGCCTATCTAGGCTACGTTTTGAATTCCAAAAGAAGGCTTTACAGGTACACCCTACCTGTCATATTAGTTTTATTTATAACATATTTATTGTTGTATTATTGTATTTTTCAGTCAATCATTAAACATTAAACATGCTGCCTTGGAGAATTAATTTAGAGAATTAAAAGTATTTTAAAAACTGAATTAAAATGAGTGCGTGTTATATGCATTGACATTTTTGCTGGTCTGGGCCCAAGGTGGGAGATGGAGAGTGGTACTTCAAAATGAGAATCCCTGTTGTGCTTATGTTGGTGGTGATTATCCCTTGCACGATTTTTACGCTACATTGCAAACACCTTTGTATGATCAGAGACCTTATACTCAGCAGAGTACTGAGGAAACCTTAACGTCTGTGATTCGACAAATAAAAAAACCAACAGTAAGGGTAACCCCCTTTGAAGGTGGTGTATTGGACTACCACAAGTTTATAATAAGACAATTTAAAAGTGTGGTTCTGCCGAACTGTGAAACCGATGATGAACGGCTAAATTATCTTGACCAGTTTACAAGGTATAAGGCCAATAACGACGTTAAAAGCTACAGTCACCTACCAGCTAAAGCCTTTCGTACGGCTTGGAGAGTCCTCGAAGAGAAGTACGGGGATGATGAAGTGATCGCGAATAAATATGTAGAGAAAGCCGTCAGGTGGCCCACGGTAAAATCGGATGACCCGAAGGGACTGGAGGATTTGTCAGTTTTCTTAGTGGAATGTTTTCACGCTTTAGATCAAATAATTCTATTCGTGTGTTAGAGTACTCTGAAAACCCGAAAAAGATAATTCAAAAGCTTCCTTATTACATTCATGATCAATGGCGGAACATTTATCAAAATACCAAGGAACAGGGAAGATGCTTGCATTTCGAACTACTTGGTGAAAGCAAAGGCATCTAAGGCAAATGATCCTACTTATGGAAAATTAGCTCTTTCTGGCGACCGATCCAAGAGTAGTAGTAGTAGTAAAGGATCGACTGCAAGTCGTCATTCTAGACCAAGTTATATTCAGCCAAGAGGATCATTTGCAACTAGCTCTAGCCCACGCTCACATGAAAGTCTCCCTGTAAATCAGTATAAGTTCATACCTTATGATATAGCATATAAAAGGCCTTGTTTGTATTGTAAACACCCATGCATCCCTTGTGTGTCTGTCAAGTTTTAAGTGCTCTTGCATTCAATGAAAAATTTGACTTTGTAAGACAGGCAAGGTTATGTTTTAGTTGTTTACGTCCAGGTCACGTTTTAGAACGTTGTAGTAAAAAATCAAAATGTCCTCAATGTTATGAATTTCACAAAGTAATTTTACATCCAAATATTGTTAATAATTCTAATCAAATTCAAGAGGGTCAAAATCATGTCTCTTCAGCTGGTTATCATATGGAGGCCGGGACTAATTTTTGCACAATGGCAATTTTACCAGTACGAGTAAAGATGAGAAATGGTATTAATTCTTAATAACTCATGCCTTCTATGATCCTGGCTGTAGTATATCATTTTGTACCCTAAAACTGATGCACCAACTAGGTTGTTTCGGAAAGTTAACAAATTTGTCAATCAAAACAATGGGTTCTGTTTTTGCTCTCAGTTGTTATGCTATTAAGAATATGCAAGTTTGTGATTTATCTTTAAATAGTGAAATTGATTTGTCAGAATTGTATACAAAAGATTATTTGCCTGTTACGAATGATCACATACCTACTAATGATGGTATTACTTTACCAGTTGTTAAGGTCGAGATAGGTTTGTTGATAGGAAACAATGTAGTGAATGTACCAGATGCCTATTCAGTTTTAGAGCTCAAATCCGGACCTTCAGGGAGCCCCAATGCCACACGTACTGCCTTAGGTTGGATCATTTGGAATTTGATGAGGGACATGTGACTACTGTGAATTCTATAGACATTCTTGCCATTCCCGATTTACAGCACTTAATAAGAGTATTAGAACAAACTTTTAATCATGATTTCCCGGAAAGTGCAAAAAATGACATTAAGGAAAATTCGCAAGATGATAAGTTGTTTATTGAAAAGATTACTAATTCTATTCAGTTTGAAAATGGACACTATTAAATTTTTTTTTTTTTTAAACAATATTTTTATTCATTAAATCTGAATTTGGATTGGGGAACAGGCTATGCCTATGTGTAACCCCTCTCTCTGATTTAGGTACATGTACACATTATAAATATTTACATACATACATACATACATACATAATTACATAATTATAGAGCATATATGATACATCATGGATAATATAGAGACTTAGATGATTATACAGAGTGCAGGGCTTGGAATGACTTAAGAGTTGTTTATGGAGATTTAAATCATTTTGATAAGGAAATAAATTGTTGGACTTCTTGGAAAATAAGTGTGTTTATCTCTGGACTAAGTTTTGTTGACCCATACAACTGACAACTGATTGTTTTATGATTATGTTGAAGGTTATGGATTGTCCGTTTTCTTGCATCTGAATATAAGTGGCATACGAGTAAATAGTGTCCGGTATCTTCGAATTTGTGACCACAGAGGCAAGCAGGGCTATCATTGATGTGTCTGAGGAATTTATGGCCTTGTAGGTTCGAGCAGCATAATCTTAGTTTACAGTGGATTATTTGTAATTTTCGTATCCCAGTATAGTAATATGATGGCACGATGGTGTCTAATTTATTTAGTGAATTTCCAAAGATAGCAAGGGATCGAGAGTTTCTAATTTCAACGTTAAGTTTGTTCCATTCTCGTATACTGGAAGGGATGAAGGACTCTGAGAAAATTTTGGTTCTGCATCTGGTTTCCTTTAGTTTATCTTTGTTTCTAAGGGTATAATTGATAGGGGTAGAGGACAGTTCTAATAGGTCAGAGAGATATGATGGAACGAGGTTGTTAGTAATTTTGTACATTAATTTTAATTTATGACGTCGGCGTCTTTCCGAGAGTGGAACAAACCTAGTCTCTTTATAGAGTAAGGCATGGCTAGTACCTCTTACCGCCCCACAGATGGTGCGCAGTGCATCTAATTGTAGGGATTCTAGTTTGTTAGCTAAATAATCACTGCACCCATCCCAGATAATGTCGGCATAATCAAAGTGTGGAAGGATAAAAGAAGAGTATATTATGTTTAAAGATTTTCTATTTAATCGATATTTTAGAGAACGAAGGCAATTTACTAGTTTGGATACTTTGCTTACAATGCTATCTATATGATTATTCCATTTACAGTTAGTTTGAAAGATTAAACCTAGATGTTTATGTTCACTTACTTCTTTGATTTGTACCTGGTTCATAAATAATGGTGGGTTAACTATGTGGGGTTTAGTAGTAATAGTCAGTGTCTCTGTTTTTAGGGGGTTAAAAGTTACCAGCCATGTCTCAGCCCAATTTCTGATTCGATTTAAGTCATCGTTAATGGTAGCAGCACTTGCCTCTGGGTCTTCAATTTTTAAGTATAAAGAGGTATCATCAGCAAATAATCTAATGTTTGAATTTATATTGTTCACAATATCATTTATGTATATTAAGAATAAAAGAGGGCCTAGTACAGATCCCTGTGGAACACCAGCAGGGATGCTTCTGAGGTCCGAGGAGGTGCCACTGATGGTTACACATTGTTGTCTATTTTTAAAATAATCTACGAACCAGAGCAGTAGATCTCCTCGAACCCCCGCAGCATCCAGCTTGTGACAGAGTCCGGCATGCCAAACCCTGTCAAAGGCCTTGCTGATGTCACAGAAGACTATTCTAGTATATTGATGTTGGTCAATGGCTCGACAGAAGAAGTGTGTTAGATTGCATTACCCTTTAAAGATTCTCGAATATTGTTACCCAATAATCGAATCCAAGTTGAACGTCGCCTTTTTAGCCTTCGCATTAGACTAAAGAGAGACCTCGTGTATTCTGTTTTCTATAATGACTTCATGAATAAACTTTTATCAAAAGGTTACGCGGAAAGGGTACCGGAAAATCAATTAGATGGAAAAGAAGGAAAGATATGGTATACTGCTCATCATGGTGCCTTTAACGAAAATAAACCAGGTCAAGTTCGGGTGGTATTTGACTGTGCAGTGCTGTTTGAAGGTATATCTCTAAATCAAAAACTGTTACAAGGACCAGATATGACAAACAATTTAATAGGGGTCCTGTTATGGTTCCGTCAAGGTCATGGGTGATATCGAGTCTATGTTTTATCGAGTACGTGTGCCGGAGTGCGATCAGGATTTTTTACGTTTCATATGGTGTCCTGATGGCAATTTGGACTCAAGACCTGTTGACTATAGAATGGCTGTTCTCCTATTTGGGGCGGTGTCATCCCCGTCATGTGCAAATCTAGCTCTCAGACAAACCGCGTTTGACATTGTGAATAATTATAATTCATCTGTGATTGATACTGTTTTGAGAAACTTTTATGTGAATGACTGTCTAAAGTCCCTAGATGATGAGTTTGAGATGATTAAACTTGTCACAAATTTGTGTTCACTCTGTGCTAAGGGTGGATTTAATTTAGTAAAGTGGATTTCTTAAACTGTCGTGATGTTTTATCGTCAGTGCCTACGGATCATAGAGCCAAAGAGGTTGTGAAGAACTCCCCGTGGAGCGAGCTCTGGGTATAACATGGATGGTTGAAAAAGATGTCTTTCGTTTAAAATTAACAGCCGCCAACAAGACATGATATTTTTTTCGACTGTAGGGTCCGTATACGACCCCCCTTGGTTTAATATCACCTTTTATCTTCCAGCAAAATCTATACTCCAAAATCTATGTCGTCTAAATTTGGGATGGGATGACGAAATACCTCCTACAGAACTGCAAAGATGGAAGAATTTCTTGGAAGATCTCCCGACCCTCCAGGAGTTTGTCATATGACGGTGTTATAAACCAGAAAATTTTGGAAATGTTGTTTCCTGTCAACTCCATACATTTGCAGATGCAAGTAGCGATACTGGTTATGGAATGGTTTCTTATCTTCGCTTGGTAAATGATTCCGGTAAAATTCACTGTTATCTGTTGTTTGGCAAGTCTCGTGTAGCACCACTAAAGAAGATAACTGTCCCAAGAATGGAGCTAACGGCTGCAACCATAGCTGTTAACCTTACCAATAAGGTCCTAAAGGAATAAGAGATTAATATTGATCAGCTGTTCTACTGGACCGATTCCGTGTCTGTATTGAGATACATTCAAAATAAAAGTACAAGGTTCCTAACATTCGTCGCCAATCGAGTAGCTGCTATCCGAGATGGAAGTAAAGTGTCACAGTGGCATTACGTTGGTACCAAGGAGAATCCTGCAGATTTGGCTTCCCAAGGCATATCTGTACGAAACACTGATAATGTGAATCGCTGGTTACATGGACCTTTGTTCTTACATAAACCCAAAAATGAATGGCCTATTCAACAACTGTCGACCGAATCTCTTTCAGAAACCGATCCCGAATTCAAAATAAAAGTACAAGGTTCCTAACATTCGTCGCCAATCGAGTAGCTGCTATCCGAGATGGAAGTAAAGTGTCACAGTGGCATTACGTTGGTACCAAGGAGAATCCTGCAGATTTGGCTTCCCAAGGCATATCTGTACGAAACACTGATAATGTGAATCGCTGGTTACATGGACCTTTGTTCTTACATAAACCCAAAAATGAATGGCCTATTCAACAACTGTCGACCGAATCTCTTTCAGAAACCGATCCCGAATTGAAGAAGGCTGTTACAGCAGCTACGTTTGGTGTCCCTGATTCAACAACCGATCGTTTGCTTACACGATTTTCAAGCTGGTCGAAATTAAAACTGATTGTCGCTCGACTATTGATTTGTTCTGATTTTCTTAGAGAAAGAGCGAGTAAACGAAAGGAAGTCGCCACAACTTTAAAATATGGTGTTTTAGACCAAGCCCACCTACAGGTGAAGGTCACAACAGACATTAATGAACAGAATTTACGAAGACTAATCGTCCCTTGGTTTTAGAAGATATCCAAAGAGCAGAGAAGAGTCTTTTTCGCTTTATCCAGAGTAAGAGTTTTAGAGAGGAGATTGAGTTGTTGAAAAAAGGAGGAAGTGTCAAGAAGAGTAGTACATTAAAGAGACTTGACCCAATTTTGTGTGATGGATTATTGAGAGTTGGGGGAAGGTTGACTCTGTCTGAACTTTCTTACGATGCTAAACATCCTATTATCCTTCCTAAAAATTCACCTGTGTCAAACTTGATAGTTCGGTCCACCCATCTAGTTGTAGGTCATTTAGGTAGGGTCACTGTTTTGTCAAGGATTCGTTAAAAACTGTGGATTATTCATGGTCCTGCCTTGGTTAAAGATTTGCTGTCAAAGTGTGTTCTGTGTCGGAAATATGGTACCAAAATTAAAAGATGGCTAATTTACCACAGGAAAGACTTAAACCTGACGAACCTGTCTTTTCGCGTGTTGGAATGGATTTCTTTGGTCCTCTAGAAGTAAAGCGAGGTCGTTCAACTGTAAAAAGATATGGAGTTATATTTACATGTCTCGCATCACGTGCTGTTCATTTAGAGATGTCTTTTAATTTAGACTTGTATTAACTCTATAAGACGATTTATAGCATGCAGAGGGTCTATCCAGTACCTCGTCAGTGATAATGGTTCAAATCTAGTAGGATCTGAACGTGATATGCGCGAAGACATTGAAAAGTGGAATTTGTCCAAAATTGGTCAAGAACTGTTACAGCAGAACATAAAATGGGAGTTTAATCCTCCGTCAGGTTCTAATTTTGGTGGTGTATGGGAGAGATTAATTCGCTCTGTCCGAAAAATCTTATACGGATTGCTCTGTGAACGTCTAATACCACTGGATGGCGAAAAATCTTCAGACTCTTTTGTGTGAAGTGGAAGCAAGTATGAATTCGCGCCTAATTACAAAACTATCCAACGATTTGAATGACTTGGACGTATTGACCCCGAATCACCTTCTGTTGTTGCGAGCTGGGGAATCACGTCCTATTGGTGTCTTTGACAAAAAGGACAATTTTGCTATAAGGCGTTGGCGTCAAATCCAATATTTGGCAGATATCTTTTGGAAAATATGGTCCACAGAGTACCTACAATTGCTACAGGAGAGGCAAAAGTGGCTGACACCGAAAAGAAATGTCCCCCTGAATGATATTGTATTAATTGTGGAGGGAACTATAAGAAGTTCCTACACCTTAGGGCGTGTGGTTAAGGTTCACCCCGACAAAAATGGCCTTGTTAGAGTTGTCACTGTTAAGACTAGGACGAATACAGTAAACCGTCCTGTAAATAAGTTAAGCTTGCTGTTAGAATCGGAATTTTAAATTCCATGGACGAAATGACCCCAAAACCCAATGGTTAGTATTTTCGTTATGGTTTTAAATGCTTGGGTAGGCAAAAGACTGTATGTTTTAAAACTCTTAAGTTTATCTGTACATGTAAATATGAAGGATATAATTTTATGTAAGAGAGTGTTCTATTTGTTAAGTATAATCAGAATATTGTATTTCTTTTAGATAGACTGAGGTCTATAAGTTATTCCTCGACTGTTTGGAAAGAGGTTTAATATGTTTTGAGATTGATAGCTAAGTTCACTAGACTGTTTGGAAATAGTGTTACCTTGGCAAAATTATTCCTCGACTGTTTGGAAAGAGGTTTAATATGTTTTGAGTAAGTTCACTAGACTGTTTGGAAATAATGTAACTGAGATTATGTGAGGTATTTCATGTAATAGTAATGTAGTAATAACTGTAAATATGATTAAGTTACCATTAAGAATGTATTTTGTGTTTATGGATTAAGAGTTATAAACTTCGTTAGATATCGCTATTACAATTTGCTTTCAATACCTGTTTTAGGTAATCGCTTCTTGATCATGTACGATTAGGAGGCCGGTGTAAGACACCAATATTTTGCGCGGGCTTCTGTAACAGATACCTGATTGTCCAGTCTAAATTTAATGTAATTTGTTAGTCATATTTAAGTCTTGATAATCGAGGCTGTTGTGTCTGCTTGGAGAGACGCCATGCCTTAAAGTTTGTTGGTAGATTTCTTGGAGCCCAGATCAGCATACAAAAATGGTGAGAAACAATGCAAACTAGGGCCCACACCTTACGCTTACACCTTATATTGCTTTAAGGTCAGCTACATAAATTATGTCCCCCAAAACAGCCAGTTTTACGTAAGTCAAGCCTGTGTTGCTCGGCCCAGCGTTTTAGGGGTTTTGGCGCAGTAATGCCCAAAGTCGTAATCCCGTTAAAATGTTGTGTTTCACGCAAGATGTTGTCAGTTTATAGTATTATACATTATTGTAGTATTTTAAGGCTTATTGATTATTTGTGTCTTACTGCAAGTGCCATAGTAACGTTTCTCATCCAGTGCAGATCTAGGCTACGGCCTGAATGGAAAACTAACGGCCATACAGCTATTTATGTCCTACTGCAAGTGCCAAATAAATGTTTCTCACCCAGTGCGGAGCTAGGCCTATCTAGGATACGTTTTGAATTCCAAAAGAAGGCTTTACAGGTACACCCTACCTGTCATATTAGTTTTATTTATAACAGATATTTATTGTTTTATTATTGTATTTTTCAGTCAATCATTAAACATTAAACATGCTGCCTTGGAGAATTAATTTAGAGAATTAAAAGTATTTTAAAAACTGAATTAAAATGAGTGCGTGTTATAAAGGTAATTATACAATGAATCTATACTCGGAGTTTCATCACTCTCACTTAATTAAACCAAAGTTATCGTGCCATAAAGCATCAACCAATCAGATTGCTCATCTCTACTTACCGTAAGCAGACAATGTTTATCATCGAACTTCATCAAGGCATTCACCTAATGAACACCTACACCAAGTTTGAACATTCTACCTCAATTAGAAGGAGAGTTATTGTGTTCCAAAGTATCGACCTATCAAATTGCTTATGGCTCTGCTTACCCTGAGAAGAAAATGCTCACTATCGAACTTAGTCAAGGTATTGATATGATAAAACTATACACCAAGTGTCCTCGCTCTCACTTAATAAGAACTTTTATTATTGTGTCCCAAAGCATCAACCTATCAAATTATTTATCTCCGTTTACCCTAAGCAGAAAATTCTCATCTTCGAACTCCATCAAGGCATTCACCTAATAAACACCTACGCCAAGTGTGAACATTCTAGCTCAATTAGAATGAGAATTATTGTGTTCCAAAGTCTGGGCCAATCAAATTGCTTATCGCTCCGCTTACCCTGAGCAGAAAATGCTCACTATCCAACTTAGTCAAGGTATTGATGTAATAAAACTATGCACCAAATTTCACCACTCTCATTTAATTGACACTAAAGTTATCGTGTTCCAAAGCATCAACCAATCAAATTGTGTCCCAAATAAAGTGTCAGCAAAATCTGACAAAAATTGTGACCTCTTCGTATTACATACTTTTACACTATTTGCGGCCATTTTGTCAGGCAGTTTCGTTTCGACCTCCCTGTTACGGTGTAACGGTGATATATTTAAACTGTTTTTACAATCGGATAAAAATTGTGAACAATGTGATTTTTATACGCCCACATTTTCACGTCTGTCCGTCCACAATTTGTTTGTACACACTCTATAGGTCACAATTAGTATCCGATTTTGACGAAACTTGAAATATAGGTTTATCTCCAAAAGATCTCGGTTCCTTTTGAAATATAGGTTTATCTCCAAAAGATCTCGGTTCCTTTTGATATTGGGATGTATCGGATCGAAACTTCGTGGATTATGGCCCCTGATTGTACGAAAAATCACATTTTTAGCTTGTGGACAATTTTGATCTGATTTTGATGGAACTTGAAATACATGTTTATAACCCAAAAATCTTGATGGTTCCTGACGATATTCACGCATATCGGATCGTAACTTCCTGAATTATGGGCCTTGATTGTGCAAAAATCTCGTTTTATACACAATTTTTATACGGGCAACGTGCCAATCGTCCATTATTTTTTTACTAGATAAAATATTGCACTTGCGGTGGGTTACCCCTAACAGACACGCCCCAAAATCCCACGCTCCCAACTAGGCTAGCTTCGCAGGCACTGTTCCCGTGTTATAAAAAATTAGATTTTTAGCCAGGATGCGTAGGATACTAATACCTAGCACGTATGGAAGAGGCGATAAACTGCGATTGCAAGAAATTGATTTTTGGGCAAAAAACATTTTATGGGGCTAAAAATGCGTTTTTGAAAAATAAAATTGTTCCCACAACCGCAGTTTATCACCTCTTCCACATTTGCTAGGTATTGGTATTCTTCGCATCCTGGCACAGTTTTTAATTTTTTGGACCACAGGAACAGTGCCGACTAATCTATCCTAGTTGGCAGGTCGTGTTATTTTGGGCGTGTCTGTTTGGGGCAACTCACCGCACAAACTGTCTGGCCGTGGTCAGGTGGTACAGATTTCAGCTAATCTAACCTAGCTGTGATCTGGAAATTAGATAACTCTTGTCAGGGATACTCCATCACTACAAATGTCTGGCAATTACATAGCTCTGTCAGGGGTACCCCACCACTCGAAATGTATGTCAGAGTGTTTTTGTAATACCTGAAGATGTACGATACATTGCTGTGCGATTTTCATGTGGTGCACTTTTGAGCTAATCTAGACTAGTTGGGGGCATGGCATTTTGGGCGTGGAATACCACACCCACCACCAGAAACCCGGCAGACTTACATTCTGATGATACCAGATATACATACATTGATACCATATAGGAGAAAATTGGTACACTTTTCAGCTAGGTTAACCCCCTGGGCTCCCGCTCTCGTTTATCCCAATTAATACAAGGTTCTCGGTTAATGGTTACACAACACACCCTATAGAGGTCACAATTTTTATCCGATTTTGTTGAAAATTGAAATGTAAGTTTATAACCCAAAGATCTCGGTTCCTTTCGATATTCGCGCATATCGGACTGTAACTTCCTGAATTATGGCCCCTGATTGTACGAAAAATCACGTTTTTAGGTTGTGGACCCTATAGAGGTCATAATTTTTATCCGATTTAAAAAAACGTATTATGATATCACCGTTACACCCTAAGGAAGGTTGAGTTCGAATTTCGTGAAAATCGGCCCAAAATTGACAGACAAAATGGCCGCCGTTTGTTCTCAAATAGCGTAAAAATATGGTATATCAAGGTTGTGGACCCTATAGAGGTCACAATTTTTATCCGATTTTTTTGAAACTTGAATTATAACCCAAAGATCTCGGTTCCTTTCGATCTTCGCGCATATCGGACCGTAACTTCCTGAATTATGGCCCCTGATTGTACGAAAAATCGCGTTTTTAGCTTGTGGACCCTATAGAGGTCATAATTTTTATCCGATTTAAAAAATCGTATTATTATATCACCGTTACACCCTAAGGAAAGGTTGAGTTCGAATTTCGTGAAAATCGGCCCAAAATTGACAGACAAAATGGCCGCCGTTCTTTCTCAAATAGCGTAAAAATATGGTATATTAAGGTTGTGGACTCTATAGAGGTCACAATTTTTATCTGATTTTGTTAAAACTTGAAATGTAAGTTTATAACACAAAGATCTCAGTTCCTTTCCATATTGGTTCAATTTACCTACCGGTCCGATATCCGTGCCCTTCCCCTCCATATCATGTCATGCATTTAGTAATAGATACATGTTGTGTCGTACATTTAGATTTGAATCCTGCATGCCGTACATTTAATAATGGACGCATGCTGCGTCGTACATTTAGGAGAGATACATATTGTGTCGTACTGTTATTAACAGATACATGTTGTGTTGTACGGATAGTAACGGATACAAGTACACGGGGTGGCTTACAATCATATATAACTCCGGTACCATCTTACAATTATTAGTAACAGGTACATGCCGTGTCCTATGGTCCGTGACAAGTAAGTAGTGTAACAGGCTCACATGATGTCTTATCAATACGGTTTGTCTTACAGTCAGTAACAGTTACACACGGTCTATTCCAGTAACAGATGCACTGGAATAAACAGTAATTTATTCACATCGTGTATAGATTAATGTCAGTAACAGGTACACGGGATATCTTTAATCAGTAATAGATAACAGATACACCGAGGATCTTTAATCAGTAATAGATACACCTCGTGTATAGATAGCTGTCAGTAACAGATACACAGGGTATCTTTGATCAGTAATAGATACATGTACACCTCGTGCATAGCTGCTAGTAACAGGCTCATATGATGTCTTATCAATACGGTTTGTCTTCTGGAATAATCAGTAATTTTTGATAATAGAAGGATACTGCGTCTTAAAGTTAGCAACTGATACACAAGGCATCTTACAGTAAGATACAAGGTGCGTCATAAATCAGATACATATCGTGTAAGACACAAGCAAGGTGTCTTATCAATATATACATGCCGTGTCTTGAAGTTAGTAGCATATAACATGGTGGCTTACAGTAAAGGATACATAGGGCATCGTAATTCATTGTTACACGTCGTGTATAGTCGCCAGTAACAGATACACAGGTGGTCTTACAATCAGCAGCATACACATTAGATGCTTTGCGTCAAAGCCAGTAACAAATACATGTGTCTTTCAGAAACATGTGTATGTAGTGTCCTACAAGAACATATACATGTGATGGTATCTTACAGGAACATATTATATAATTGTGTTATCGTACAATCAGTGATACATGACATGTATAACTTTTGGTACGTGTTGTTTTATAAGGCATAATTGTTACAAAAGTAGATACGAGTCTTATAGTCAGTAACGGCTGCCAGCAGTATCTTAGAATTCTTAACAGTTACATGTCATGTCACAGTTACAGTCAATAGCAGATGCAGACGTGTTTCGATATTTATAAACAGATGCACAGTATACCTAGATATGCCCCTCTTTGAAAGAATTTTGAAGTCATCGATTACATACTATTATACATTTACACGTCCTCTATTTGACTGGTTCCTACAGTTTAAGTTATAACAATCTGGTATAATTTGTAAATAAAACAAGAGGATTCTGTGGTCTAAGGGGAGACAACGCATTGTTGCACTCAATTAGAATGTACAGTACCAACACCAATAAGTTAAGCAAAATTTTTGAATAACATACGATAACTCTATGTTCATATGTCCAAAATGCAATCTATTATTAGACGTGTGTCTAGGTCCTCGATTCATACGCTCAGGCTTATATGCTCATACACATTTGCATCAAGTTTCGGTCCCCATAATCGAGGACAGTTACTGTAAAGTATACACCACGTTCTATCCTAAATGATTGATACAAGGCGTTTCTTATTACCATTAAGAAATATTTCCGTTTTTGTTAAGGACGACAGCGTATAATCTGAGGTTTTAAATTACGTACTTAAATTCAAAGGTTCTCGATAATGCGACCGACTCCTAATGCAAGTGTGTCATCAAGGTCTGTCATATAAACATACACCTATCAATTGAGGTCCTTTCACACATACAGATGTTTGATGATAGACATATTTATGAATATTTGTTAACATTTATTGATTTTCAAATTACCAGTTATTCAATGTCCCTTCATGTGTCCTCGATTTATAGGTTCATACTTATCTGGTCATACACACTATCATTAAGTGTCGGCCCCCATAATCTAGGACAGTTGATGTAAGTGATTGGTACAAGGTGTTTCTTATAGTCAGTAACAAATACATATCAGTTTATGTTACATTATGAAGACCATAATCAGGTGTCTTAAATTACATGCTTAAAACAAAGGTCCTCGATAAGGGGGGGCCGACATCTAATGCAAGTGTGTGTCCTCAATAGACGTTGTTGATAAAGGGTCATCGGTTTCCGAGCGTGAGTCATGTGTGACATGCGCATAATCATCTTTGTGTATCCTCTCTTATAGAAGAAAAAATCTCATTCATAAAAACAGTCGGAGGGGATATAGTGTAGCAAATATGGATAAAGAATTGAATTTATATTCTAAAATTGTTAATGATGTTATCGAAATATTGTTTTAAACCCTGTCCTCAATTTGGTATATATATACCGATGTCGTGCGTGTGCGTGCGTGTGTGTGTGCTAGAATCATAAAGTTTTGACAAATAAAATTTGAACACATAATTTAAACTACAAAAATTTAATTTTTGGACATACGGATTTATTTTTTTCGATCGTTTGTTTATCCGGTCAGCATTTTGTACAACATTAGAGAATGACCCATATACTAAGATGCAATGAAAACACACCACTTTTATAAATAGATTATGATAAAATGAAATGGGTAAATGTTAATTATCATGCAATGAAAACACTCCACTTTTATAAATAGATGATGAGAAATACAACACCTCGTTTGACGTCAATTTTTATTATGAATTAATACAATGACATTGTGATTCAATTTCATGGATGCAAAGCATTAATTGTGATATCACATAATGTCTATATTATTATCTCATGCTTTGAGTGCCCATCCTGTCCCAAATCTGACGATAAAGGATAAAGCACACGGCCGAGAAACCTTTCTCATAAAAAGTATTGATTTACAAAAAAAATATGTAACTGAGCAGGGGGGTGTTTCGCCCCCCCCCCCAACCCCCCCTCTGGATCCGCCCCTGGGTAAATGTTAATTATCTTGCTTGTCTGACTGTAACATCATCAGATATTACAGCTTTTGGGATACTTAAAAATTATCTCCTCCATGTGCCAATGATGCATGGCATTTGTTGCTGCTACAGGTGGTCACAAATGTTATACTGACTTGTGATTTTTACTTTTTACTCCTTGTGCCCCCATACAGACAACAAACTTCCCAGGAAACGCATTTCAGCTGCATTATATGTTTTCATTTACCCGGTATATTATCAAAGAGGCATTATGGGAGATTAGATAAAGTGTTGACTGTTCTTGCTATAATAGTTAAAAAATAGATAACGTAAATAGAATATGTTGAAAATTTCAGTCAAATTGCTCCACTTTAAACCAAGATATTAGCTTTTGAATTTTAAGCCTAGCCTCGATCATCATAACTAAAGTCAATGAGCCTTCAGCAGCAGATCGGATTCAATTCCAGGGGAAATCCAACACATAAGATGACATCGAGAGTTGATTATGGTTTGGAAAAGTTAAATAATGTCTATTTAATAGTTTATATAACATTTCAGGCCTAAAGAAAGACCTGCAATAGGCAAACTAGGTCATTTCGAGACTAACACATGGTTTAATTTTATTTCAATAATTCACTTGCGCGTAGGGGTCTTTAGCAGTGGGAGGAAACCGGAGGACCCGGAAAAAACCCACGAGGTTGGACAGGGACCCTACTCCTTGTCACGTACAGCCAGGATTCGAAACCACACCAGTTGACTCAATGACAGGCCTTATGATACAGCACGCACGTGCTAACCATTCGGCCATCCAACCCCCCCAGCTCTTGCATAATGTATGTTTAAATAATTAAACAGTAAAAATATATATATAGTATTTAACAAAAACTTACATCAACAAAAGATACAACAATAAGCAGTGTTTAAGCCTACTTTTCATTTAAAATAAAACATATAGTAGCAGGTCTTGAGCATATATTTTATATCTAACTTTTTCAACAGTAATATAATATAGGGGGCAGCATCTGTTCATTGCATAGCATATTAATACATTTTATATGTTTTTCTTAAAGATGCTGATGATATCCATTTGCATTTCTGGACAATGTCTAATTTTTCTCTACTTAATCCATGCTAAAATTAGTTATTTAACATTTTAAAATTTTCCTGCTTTGGTTCCAATCTGATAACAAAGTGGCCCATCAAAAGCCTTTACCCAACATTTAAATGCTGCTGACTTCTTTATATCATATGCAGAGTTAGCTATATGCTGAATATTGCAAAATTATCATTTCGCCATTGTAAAAACTAAATGGAACTGAACCATTTTAATGATTCCAATTGTACAATACATGTATTGCAAATCCCAGAGATGATGTTCAGAGACTTTAAAGGAGCTAAACCTGCTAAACATCTATTTTTTGGACCCTTAAAATGGGAAAACACACATTAATGTAATGTGTTTATAAACTGATTTTACATTCAATTATTTATTGTAATTTCTACAATACCTATGTGAGCAATCCAAGTTGAATATGGGATATTTTTTGCTTTGTAATTTGTTCTTTTATCCTCTTCATTACAAATACAGCTTGATACCATGATGTTGGGAACTGATTTTAACATTTTTATTGTATATTAAATATTGGATATCAGGAGCCGATATAACAACATTAATATTGATTGAAATGGACCAATGTTAAATTCTAATACATATTTTTAATGCCAAAGATTGTGGATATTACTGAGATTTAGCTTGTTTAATAACTTTACTCTGTTATTTTCTTATTATGATCAAGAATCATAATATACCTAGTGTGTATGTTCTTTGTAGTTTAGCTTGTAATATAGATTAACAGTATAAAATATATCTAAAGCAGTGGTTTTGTCTTATTTAATTTTAAAATTCTGTAAAACAAGACATGTAATTTAGTATCATTTTTATTATAGTGTATAATATTTATAATTGTGTTTTAAATCTAAATACACTAATCAATATCAAATATACTGCTATTTTGTGCCAATAACAAAGTAACTACAAGAATCTATTGTAAATAAATAAGGATTTATTTAACTGAATGTAGAATGAGTAGGTATGAAAGATGACGCCATGAATCATCAATCTTTGATTGATAAGCCGTGAATACCAAGAGACAGTTCTATGCGGCATAATCAATGTTGATGAAATTAGTTATTGCATTTATTTCAGCTGTCTTACCATTCCCACATTTATTTCTATTTTAATTCACAGTAAATCAAACAAAAGTTTCTAATTTATTTTCTGTGGAGTCTAATGAAGATAAAACTTTAAGTTTTTTAATACCATTGTTTTTTATTACATACATTTCTCTTGTCGGACCAGTTTTATAGTCTCTATTTACATGTGAGAAATTTTCAATCACTTTTTGTTTAACAGATCTATGGTTGGCAGAATTGGAGAAAATGTCATTCCTGGAATTCATAGGGTGAGTTTTTGAAATGGCATATCCATGGGAATTAATTGGACACAATGTTTTGTCTTTGTTTTTATTATCTAAGTATTCATTGCTAGTTTGGACTGCTTGGTCTCTTAATTTATTAGGAATTGCATAGTTATTATTAGGCTTTGGTTGAATATACATATTATAAAAATCATCACTAGAAAAATCATCAGTTGGGGAAGAGGTTTCAGTCATGCGTTCATTAAGAATATCTAGTTCTATTTCAGGAAGGCTAGGGAAGGAATCAGTACATGTTGAGCCTATTTTTCTAGTAGCAATTGAGTTTGAAGAGGAGCTACATTGAGCTTCAGTGGTCATCTGTATTGTTGTTGCTTCTGTTTGTGGAATCTCAGAACACATCACATATTGTTTATAATTTTGTTCACTTTCTGCAGCTAAACGGCATGCATGCTGTAAGGAATTCACACACATGCTGGAATCAGTAGATACTTCCATATATCTCTTGGAATTATCCACAGATGGCACACACGCTATATTACACAACAAACATTTACAATTACACATTCTGGGCCAAAACTCCCCAAACGAGCATGTTAGTGTTTTTGAATTGCACAAATGAGTCACACATTCAGATAGTAAACCTACGTTTGAATTATTATCTGGAATTTTATCTATATTGGTTTCAGCATCCATATGGGGCATTTCATTGTTTTCATTGCACATGGCTTCTTTATCAACAACATTCGAGACATTGTCACTTTTAATACTTCCCTCCGTCTTTTTCCTAGGTCGCGGCCCAGTGCGAAACAGCTCACTGAAGAAATGAAAACAAAAAAAATACGACAACTGAAATACTATACAAAACAACTACGGTACATGTACTTTGTAAAATGCAGGTAACTAATATAAATATAGAATACAATATGTGCTTCTGTGCTGATCCTATATACATGCATGCATAGGTCAACAGTATAGAAATTGTGCTTAAAAATAAATAAAATAACTAAAATTTGGCTAATACTTTCTATAATGTGTTTATTTAATAAAGCAAGCCAATGTGTGCACACATATTTGTGTCCCTTTCACATTAAATGTCTATTTTGCTAGGACTAAGACACAAAGACATGACTTACATTTATGTAAGGGTGATCTCAAGGAATATTCACTTTACAAGTCAGCCTATCACAAAATTAAAGAATTTCTTTTATCTACCAAATTATTTGTTTCATCCACCAAACAATTAATTACTAATGAAAAACCACAAGTACATAGTAAACTGAATCACATATTTTTAATCCTATCCATTAGGGTCACAGATAAAAAGCAGCATTATACATTAACCTAACTGTGCAGAAATATCAATCGTTTGTCAAAAGACAGATAATCCCCAAGTTTCCTGGTCTTAATTTTATTATTTGTAGTTAACAATAACAGACTTAATTTTTCGTCAGTAGCAGTAATGGAATTTTAGCATTTAATTAAACAAAATATACTACCATGGTTAACCTTGAGTATCATACCAAAACCTAGTACAATTACTGTGTAATAGTACAGTCTGTTTTACATTGATCTTACTTGTGACATTAGGTAATTAAGCTGACTGTTGTTTACAGTGTTTAAGGGTGGGCATTCAGAATTATTTTCAATATGATATTTTATAATGGTGGAAACAAGAACAGTGCAAAATGTTGACTTCTATAAAAGTTTAATATAAGACAGTTTAACAGGACATCTATTCCATTTAATGCATGCATGAAAAACACAACTCCAACATTTTACAATCTGTATGAAGTAACATATAATGGAAAACATACAGTTTTGGCCATTTTCTGTATACAGAGTATGATTGTTGCCTTTGTCTATTGGTTTTCTCTGAATAATATTGCCCAAATCAATCAGACATCAAATGTAGGGAAATTAGTTAAAATATTTGTTAATACCATGACATAACATAACATCTCTGCTTTCTGCAAGCTTTACCTGACATTGGTATTACAAGTGAAAGGCATTATAACCCTGAGATCTCATGGCCATAAGACCACTAAGGAAGTTGCATTAAAATCAAATGAACAAAAAGCCGAAGGGTCTTAATTGGCCATTGGTTAATTTTATTTCGTCAACTAAAATAAGTTCTAATTTAGATGTTTCCCTGTCTTATACTAAATTATAAGCCACTTTAAAGTAAAAACCTGAAATCTCGTAGCAGACAAGATATCAGCCCCAAATCTCAAGAGAGCACGAGATTATCGTCATCATTTTTCCTGGCTTCTAAGAGAAAGCCACGCTTTATATTAGCTCTCGAAATTATTCTAATTTTACTATGTCATTTTCTCCAAGCCAAACGGCAAAGATGACAAATAGCCATACGGCAACTAATGCTAGCCAAACGGCATCTATTTTCTACATGTCCCGAAGAACGGACAAATCTGAGATTGATTTTTCAAGCAGTGACGGACTGACGGGTCTGAGACAAGACGGTCACGCTCACGGTGTCGACGAACACGTGCTCCATACAGAATTCCTAAAAGACGTAGAAGTCTTTCTGTCGATAAAAATCGTACCGCAAAACGATCTTCAAATAAATCAGATGGAAATTCTTGTTCGAGTTCAAAGACAAAATCGTCCAGTACTAGTAGTTCTAGTACAAAATTGAAGTCGTCTAGGAATGGTTCCGATATTATTGAGCCTACACAAAGGCGTTTTAGCAAAGCGACGAAGCACATCAAAACGAATGCTTCTGCAAATTCTACCAGTGTGGAAATAGACGATTCGTCCAAGCGACATTTTGGTACTGACATGCCAGAAGTGCATTGTTGACATGATAAACAATAATGGTGGCGGCCATACAAGATTTTCCCCAGTGGAGGCGAAAAAAGACAATTCATTGTCACGAGAACTGGTGGCGTATTCAACGAAATTCTTTAAAGAATTTATTAAAGATGATGAACTAGACAAGTCCATCCTAGTTAATGCGCCCGTACCTGATGCCATTCCGGCTGAGACGTTAGATGAAGAATGGCAGGATATGTTAGATGACGGAAATCATCTCGGTGTCAAAGCGACAGAATCGGCATTAAAACGGGTCCAGTCTCGGATTATTTAAATCATGGGTCCACTCAGTAGATTGTGGTCTTTTTTGGAAAGAATCAGAAAAGGTGAAAGTGATTCTGAGGTGGAAATAACTGATTTTCTCAAATTGACAGAACAAATAGTATGCTTAGTGGGTCAAGAATCAGAAAAGGTGAAAGTGATTCTGAGGTGGAAATAACTGATTTTCTCAAATTGACAGAACAAATAGTATGCTTAGTGGGTCAAGCTAGTGTCACGACAGCTTATCACAGACGTTTGAATATTTTATCGAAGGTGATGAAAAACACAAAGAAGGCACAGAAGTTTTTATCTAAACATTTCGAAAAGAAATTTTATAAAAAGCTAACAAAAATTAGCAAGGATAAAAAGAAGAGAATGAATTTAGAAAATTTGTTCACAAGTAGTAATTATATAAATTATAGACAGAATTACTATAACAGTAGAAAGCCCTTTTGTTCAGGGCCCTCGTCCAAGTTTAGAGGTGGGGGCCGTGGTAGCTCGACCTATCAAGGTCGCATACAGTTCAGAGGTACTGGTACCAATAATAAATCATCCAGCTCAAGAAGCACTGGAAGACGAAATTATAGTTCCTCCTACACAGGAACAAAGTCAACCGATCAGAGGTACGTCTCTTTTATTATCCACCCATACAAACGATTTGATACACAATCAAGTGTTAGGTCTAGGCATTATGCAAATACCTACAGATGACAAAATAGGAGGTTGAATAAAGCTTTTTCTCCCAAATTGGGAAAAGCTCACTAACGATGCTGTCATATTACAAATGGTGACAGGGTTCAAAATTGAATTTGTAAAAGTTTCTATTCAAAAAATAGTTCCCAGGCAGGATACGCCCACATTTTTGAGAGATGGATAGAGAACAAGCTAAAAAGAAAGTGATTTTTCTTACAATCAAGGGCCATAATTCATGAAGTTACAATTCGATATGCGCAAATATCGAAAGGAACCAAGATCTTTAGGTTATAAACATGCAATTCAAGTTTCATCAAAATCGGATTAAAAGTGTAACCTCTACAGGGTCCACAACCTTGATATACCATATTTTTACATCTTTGGCGTACAAGCGGCGGCCACTTTGTCCGGCAGTTTTGGTTTGATTTTCAGGAAATTTGAACTCAATCTTTATTATGGTGTTACGGTGATATATTCAAATGATTTTTAAAATCAGATAATAACTGTGACCTTCAGAGGGACCACAAGCTAAAAGAGGCGATTTTTCGTATAATCAGGGGCCATAATTCATGAAGTTACGATCCGATATGTGACAATATCGAAAAGAACCAAGATCTTTAGGTTATAAACATGCATTTCAAGTTTCATCAAAATCGAATTAAAATTGTGACCCATACAGGGTCCACAACCTTGACATATACCCTATTTTTACATTATTCGTTTACAAACGCCGGCCCTTTTGTCCGGCAATTTTAGTCCGATTTTCCCCAAATACAAACTTAACCTTCTTTAGGGTGTAACAGTGATATAATAATACGTTTTTTTAAATCGGATAAAAATTATGACCTATATAAGGTCAACAAGCTAAAAACGCGATATTTCGTATAATCAGGGGCCATAATTCAGGAAGTTACTATCCAATATGCACGAATATCGAAATGATCTGAGATCTTTAGGTTATAAACTTACATGTCAAGTTTCATCAAAATCGAATTAAAATTGTGACCCATACAGGGTCCACAACCTTGATTTACCATATTTTTACACTATGCGCGTACAAACAGCGGCCATAATCCATGAAGTTTCGATCCGATACATGCCAATATCGAAAGCAGCCGAGATCTTTTGGGGATAAACCTATATTTCAAGTTTCGTCAAAATCGGACAAGAATTGTGACCTGTAGAGAGTCCACAAACAAATTGTGGACGGACGTCCAGACGGACAGGGGCGACGACAATATACGTCCACATGAAAATGTGGGCGTATAAAAATAGAAGGCGGGAATCTGTCGATAGAAATAGACAAAATGTTGAGAAAAGGTGCTATATTAGAGACAGGCAAAAAGCCGGGTCAATTTTTAAGCACGATTTTCATAACCCCCAAGAAATCCGTGGGAGGGTTCAGGCCAGTATTAAATGCCAAAATTATGATCAAAAATGTAGTTTATCGTCATTTCAAGATGGAGGGCATGGTAACCCTAACCGAAATGATGATTCCAGGAGATTACATGGTAAAGCTAGATTTAAAAGACGCATACTTCACGTTCCAGCTCACTTGGAACATCAGAAGTACCTAGCCTAGCTTTTCAATGGCAGGGAAAAACATATCAATTCCATTGTCTACCATTTGGCCTAACATCCGGTCCAAGAATGTTCACAAAACTTATGAAACCGGTCATTGCTTTTCTACAACGGATAGGGTTACGTCGAATGATTTATCTAGACGACATAATTCTGATGAATCAAGATCCGATTCAATTAGTAATAGACAAGAACTCAGTTGTTTTTCTCTTGCAGAACATAGGGTTCATTATCAATTGGGAGAAATCCTTGATAATTCTGAGTCAGACAATGGAATTTCTGGGTTTCATGATAAATTCTTTACAAGAGTGCAAAGATCTTCTAAAGAAGAGTCAAGCGGCTGGTCGAAAATTGGCACAAATTATAGGAACCATGACATCATCAATGATGGCAATCCTTCCACGCCCTCTTCATTACAGGCATTTACAAAGGCTGAAAACTCAGCCTTTTCTGATTCAGAAAGATTACAATTCAGTAATCAAGCTGGCACCAGAATGCAGGGAAGAATTAACATGGTGGATAGACCATCTAGATCA